GTCACCGCCGCCGGCGTCCTGGCCGGGAAGCCGCTGGTGTCCGGCAGCGCCCTGCGCATGGAGGGGCAGCTCGTGGTCTACAACTACCAGGGCGGGCCCTGCTACCGCTGCCTCTTCCCCGCGCCGCCGCCGCCGCACGCGGTGACCAACTGCGCCGACGGCGGCGTGCTGGGCGTCGTGCCGGGCGTCGTGGGCTGCCTGCAGGCCCTGGAGGTGCTCAAGATCGCCTCGGGAATGGGCTCCTCCTTGGGGCAGACCATGCTGGTCTTTGACGGCCGCGAGGGCCGGTTCCGCAGCATCCGGCTGCGAGGCCGGAGGCCGGACTGCGCCGTCTGCGGGGACAACCCGTCCGTCACCTGCCTTCAGGATTACGAAGCCTTTTGTGGGTCTTCTGCGACAGACAAATGTAGGACTTTGCATCTGCTGCCCAGTAAGGACAGGATATCTGTAGAGGAATACAAAAAAGTGTTGGATGAGCAGGTTCCTCATGTGCTGTTAGATGTTCGTCCGCAGGTAGAAGTGGATATTTGCCGCCTGGCACATGCAATCCATATTCCTTTGAGTAAATTGGAAGAAAAAGATGAAGAATGTCTGAAATATTTAGAAAAAAGAATTTGTGGAGAAAAGCAGGGGGCTAATGGCAAAGCTCTTCCTGTATATGTTGTTTGCAAATTAGGAAATGACTCGCAGAAGGCTGTAAAAATTTTGCAAGAGTTACCTGGCCAGGAGCTTGGTTCTGTGTTAGCTAAAGATATTAAAGGGGGGCTTATGGCTTGGGCCACTAAAATAGACCCAACATTTCCTCAGTATTAGCAATTTACATATTGCTGGAAAAGAATGGATGCTCACTGTAAATGCTATTTGGTTTCATCTTCTCGGTGTAATTGCTCTATGGGTAAAATGGGGAGCTAAACATACCATGTTGCTTTTCTAATGGTTTTTTTTAAAAAAAATCATGTATCTTTGTAGATGTTTTAGATTCTGTCTTTATAAAAATGTGAAGTCATCAATGGCAATGGAAGTACGTTTCTTGGTTATTATTTAATAGTGAAACTTTGAAAAATTACTTAATTGTTTATTTGAAAACTGAGAATTCCTTCCCTTCAGCAGTTACAGCCTACAGAGAGTCAAACCACCAGAGTCACGCTGGAAGTTTTTAACCAATCTGTGTGTAACTGCACGTTGATTAAAAAAAAAATGCTGTTATCTCAAGCTAGTCAGTAGTAGTACTAAGGCTGTGATAAGGAATTGCCAAGAAAAGGTTCCTGCCAACAAGACTGTTTTGAGCAGTATCTTTTTCTGTCTATTCTCTCTTGAAGTATTGTATGCAATCCCGGCAGCAAAGTAAGGGTAGTGCTATTGACATAATGACAGAAAAAGTGGAGCAGAGCGAAAGCCAAACTTCAGGTTTGTGCAGCGTTTCTGCGCTGCTGGGCTCTGCTTTGTTGATCCCTGTCTGGCTCAGGTAGGCGGCTGGAAGCTGAAGGGTTTTTAAAGTTCCAAGCACAAGAACTGTGAGTGGAGTTGCCCACGTGGTGTTGGTCGCGTGGACGTTCACCCAGTTGTGGGGTTGTGATAGCAGCGCCCACAGGCTTCAAAAATTGAGTAAAGGAACTTAAAAAGCCGCCCAACCTTTGCTTGTTGTCTGGCAACAAATGTATTCTGCAACCAGTGTAGAGAGAGTGAAGTTAACTCTTAGTAGGACAAGTTTTAGCATGGAAAATTTGTAAATTGTTCAGAAAATACTCTGTAAAGGCTTGGAAGCTTTCAGAGATTGGTAGGTGAAGAATTTTTGATGTTAAGGATGATACAAGTCATCTGCTCTGGATTGCTGCATTTGAACATGTCGCCTATGTAGTTCTGTGGGAAAGCACCACAGATCAGGGACTAACCTGTTTTTGTCCTGGCATCTGCCTGCTATTGTCAAGCAAGGCAAATCAAGCAGCTCTAGGTTTCAGGCAAGTCTAAAAGGCATCTGTAAAAACTTACCTTCTCTCCTAAACTTAGTTCCTCTTCATTTTCATGGCAGGAGTCTCTCTCTTACCTGAAAACTCCAACAAATTCTGCACCGACAGGATTTACTTCATCCAACTGTTTGGTGTAACAGTCTGTTTAAGAGGTGGCCAAAACTAGTTTGCAAGTTAGTATAGAACAATTTTCATTATCACGAATGTGTCTTTGTTATTATCCTGTTTGTAAGTATAATTTATAGTGAAAACAGTTCAAAAGTACATGCTGGTTTCTTAAAATGCTGCACGCATGAGTGTTTGTGTATTTAATATGAAAGCTCTAGGTTTTCCTTTTTAAACTATGTCAGAGAAAAATTTTAAGGTTGTTTGCTAGGTGGCAGTGCAAGTTTATAAACTTCATTCCTTTGGTTATAAAAGATGCAATCCAGCCTTAGTAAGGACTGAGGTTCCTTCACAAAAATGTATTGCTGTGCAATTAAAAAAACAGAATGAAACTAGGGCAATTTTAATAGCAAGTACTGCATATATTATATATATTTTAAAGAAAGTAATCTCTGTAGGGTAACTTTCAAAGCATGCTTTTCTAAAGTTGAGGTTTTTCTTTCACAGGCCTCTTGAAAGGCTTTTGCAACTTGAATGGAAAATTGTACAAAGGGGTTATTAGAAGCATTGGCACAAAATTCAGTATAGCTCTTAAATCTGCTAAGAGTCACTGCTTGTGTCTGGGCCTTGATAGTAACAAAACGACAAATGTTGAATGCTGTAAGAGGAAAGAATTCTCATCATGAAGAAATAAGGTTATAAAGAGGTTTATTGTATGCGGACACCAGATATATAAAAGAATTTCCTTCTGAATTAAAAATACTTGTATTTTTGAAATTGGCTATTATTTTACTGAAACTTTTAGAAAGTTCATTTACAAAAGGAGCAGGTAGCTGTCCATTAATTTATGTATTTGCAATAGCTAATTGCTACTTGCTTTGATTCTTACTCACTCACTGACAAAATCTGCACTGGCCTGTTTCATTGTGTAAAAACTTGAGTCCTAATAACATCCCGGCAGCATCCATGCTGCAAGGCTCATTAAGCTGTTGGTTTTTATGTTACAAGGTTTTTATTTAAATATTCCCCGCTAGGGCCCAGTGATGTCTGAGGAAAAGCTGTGGCTCACTTGGAAGAGATTTAGATCAGCATCTGAACAAGGAATTGCTTTTTCTTCTGAAGTGAGTATATGTTCAACCACTGCTCCTTTGTGTATGACACTGGGAGCCCTGTCTTTAAGTGATCACTTAATACCAATAAAAGGTGGCAGGTGTTGCTTGTGTGAGAAGGCAAAGGGATTGACCTACAGCAGCCACATTCATTTGAGCTTGTCTAAGAGCTCCCATCTGAGTGAGAGGAGACAAAAAGCAGGATAGTGTAATATCATCTCTGCACTGCCAAACCCTTTCTGTGCTTTTCAGAAAGAGCAATTACCTCGTGAAACGCCTTACAGCTTGGGGCTGTCATGTAAACACAAGGATCTTAAATAACATTGCTGGTTAGAAAAACAAATAGCTACTGAACACAAAGCTTAAAAAGGAATCTGCTGGCTTCTCTTGTTTATTTCTGCTGGGGGCAATGAGTTCTTTTTTTGGCAGTTTCTGGGGCAAAGTTTTGGGAAGTTGTTTCCAGTTACTTGTTTAATAAAGTGAAAATTTGCTGCCTGTGGGCGGGTGATTTCTCAGGCTATGAATATGCACAATGTTACCTGTTTTACCAGCATCAGAGCTATGAATCATTTTAATGAATGCAAAACAAGGTGCAGCTTTTTAGTCTCTGTTGTGGTGAAAAGCCCTCACAGCGGGGGAGCTTGCAACTTTATTACTGAAAGCAAAACCCCTCGCACATCCGGGCTTGCTGTGGTTGCTCAGGTAAGGTGGCCTCTTCTGTGATTGAAGACTCACTTATGCTCTGAAGCAGTTGACTGAAATAAAAAGCAAGGAGCATCTTTTCTCATGGCTTGTTGTTTCCCTTCTCACGCAGATCCATTTCAGAGTGAAGGAAGCATCAGTCACCCCATGCGGGTTACTTCAAAGCTCGGACACATGTTGAGTGACCAAGGTGGAGCCAAGTCAGCCTGCAAAAAAGCCTAAACTTGATAAGTACAAACTGTGCTGCTTTGTTTCACTCCAGGACCTCAGTCCTGCTGGAGCAGTTTTGAAATGGAACTGGAGCTGGGTGAAGGTACACTGCTAAAGTTAAGGGTGGCTGGAGGAGGAGGAAGGTTACACTCAAATGCTGGCTGGAGACCAGCTGCCTTCACCAGAAGCAGTACCAGACCTTTGCATTTCTACTGGGCATCACCCAGACATAAATTTCCTCCTATATTGAGGCTAGCAAAAGAGTAAAATACTAGCGTGTATTGGGATGGCAAAATTTGGAATATGCTTAGGAAACACTCATGTAAACCACGGGGGGAAAAAAAAAGTATATCTGTATACACAGAATGGTTTGTGGTGTGAACCTTCTGTGGTTTGTTGTGCTACTGTTTTAATATACTGGCCCCCCTGCTTACCTTATGTTGTGTCTTGAAGCTCTTTTGGGGGAAGATAAATACAGCTCAAGGAAAGCAGCAGAATATGCTTAGACCCATGGTTAGGAAGGAGACTGGGATAAAGATTTCCCAGTGCTGTCTCCTAGAATAACTCTGAGCTGTCCAAAAGAGTAATGAGTTCATGAATAAGGCAAAAGACAAGAAATCCAGGATTTCTGCTTAGTTCTACTTGTATTCTTGGGCAGGATGCTTCCTCCAGCTTCTGTGTGCTGTTTAATTATTACTCTAGCGATCAGATCCAAGGGAAGTCTTTAATTTTTTTTTGTGTTATTCTTGAACAGCCCTAAGAACTGTTCAGTTCTCTAGTCTTTTATCACTGGATGGATTAATTTCACCTCTTTACAATATATCTAATTTGACTGATTGTTGAAGCCCCCTGAAATATTTAAGTGACAGCACTGTTCTGAGCTCTTGTTTCTTCCTCTTTATTATAAAGTACTTGCAATTCTAATATCTCATGCTTATAACAAAACTAATATAGAACAAAAAGATAGCTTCCATTCAAAACAATATTTGTCCTCTGAATCTTATCCGAAAAGGAAAATGATACAAATTTAGTCTGGTGCTACTGTTGCTCTCTGAGTGCTGATTCTCCAGCCAGAAAAAGAACCTATCTCTGTTCTGCATCAGAACTGCCTAAAATTGTAATTTCTAATGACAGGCAGAATCAGGCTGTAGCTATGGAATTGCAGAACCAAGATCCAAGTTCTGGGAGGGCCCTGCTAGGTTCAAGGACCTGGGCCATAGCCGTAGTCCTGGGAAGATGAGTTTTGCCAGCCCTGACTCTGGCATGATGGTTACCTGCCCAGAGCAGCAGAAACTCAGAACAAAGGCTGTATGATTTGAGGAAAAAAAGAGCAACTACGGGCTTTATCCCTCTAAGAGCATAGTCCAATATGATTTGAGGAAAAAAAGAGCAACTATTTAGATTATCCCTCTAAGAGCATAGTCCAGAATCCACAGTTTCTCTTCATCCTTCTGGTAAGTTCTTGACTGTCTTCTGCAGGTTAGGAAGAAGAAGAAAGAGAATTCTGTTATTGCCTGGCTGGAGATGCTCAGATACCAGAGCAATGGCGAAGAGCATCCTTTCTGCGGGGCCATGGGGTGTGCGTCTGCAGGAGGTTCTCCTCACACCGTCCTTCCCCACGGTCGCCCACGGGAGACGCGGGATCTCTGTGCCCCTGGCACGAGGCCCTTCTGTGCAAAGAGGCTGGGGTTTTATTTACAAGGTGTTCGTGCTGTTGCTAGGAGACCGAATCTCTGCTCCCAAAGAAAGGTTGTTTCCGATATTAAGATGGCTCCTCTCATGTTTAACTAGGAAATTAATGC